GGAAAGGTCGAGACGTTGACGCCTGGGGACCCGGACGTGGATAGCGTGTCGGGCCGATGGCGACGATGGCCGTGGCGGGGCCTCCGCGTCGGAGAAGCCTCGCATCCCGGGCCAGCCCATCCAGGCGACGCGGCCACGGCGGAAGTGGCCAACGTGACGCGATGGAGTGCGAGCTGGCAGCGGGCGCGAGGACGCGCGGCCTGCGGCTCCAGCTGGGGCCCGCGCACGACAGGGCGCACCTGCTGGCGGTTGCTCACCGGCCAGGCCGCTGCGGGGTCCGAGCGGAGCCGCCCCTGGGCGTGCCGTGCAGGCTCCCCGGGGCGCCTGTGATGCACCTCGGGCAGGCCTGGGCCGCTCCCTTCACGAACTGCCACGGCTTCGTGGGCGGAGGGTGCGATGCGGAGCGAGATGCCGGTCTGATCCTCGAGGGCTCGCAGTGGCTGCGTGGCCTCGGCGCGGCGCCAGCCTCTGTCGTGGGAAACCTGGACTGTAGCCTGGACGTCGTGGGCCTCCCGGGAGTGCAGGCCATGGCTGGATGGCGCGATTTGCTAGCTGCGGCAGGGCCCACCTGCGTGCCTACCCACGGCAACCCCTCTCGCCTCGACTACGTTCGGGCCAAAGCCAAGGACATGAGCACGGTCGAGCGCGTCAGCATCCGTTGGGACCTCGGGCTGGCCATGCACGCTGCATCGCTGGTGACCTTCCGCGCCAGCCCGCCCGAGCAGGCGTTGATCCGGCGGCCTGTCCCGGCCCTCGATGGCGCTACCGCCGAGGGCAGTCGCACGGGATGTCACGGCTGCGGTGGTGGGGCAGGACGGGGCGCCGTGCCGCGAACCGCCCAGGGCGCAGGACCTGGCGGCTGCGCGGGCCGAGCTCAGCATGACGATGCCAACGTGGTTGGCGGCGCGGCAGGGGCGGCCTGTGGTGCCCGAGCGGACGCATGCGGCTGCTGCGCTGCGCGCGGAGCGGGCCCCAGCGTCCGGAGGCAGCGGCGAGGCGACAGATGCAGCCGCAGAGGCTGCCTTGCTGAGGCTTCGACGCCTGCGCGGACTCCGCCACGCGATGGCCCGCGGTAGCGCCGCGGTGCGGGAAGTGGAAGGGGAGACGCTTCGGGCACTGCGGGCTGCGGACGCGGGCAACGCCGCCTGGGGGATGCGGTTGGCGGCGGTGCGGTTGCACGCCGAGCTCCCAGATGCCTTGGTGCAACACGCGGAGGCTGATAAATCTGATTGGGCACCGGCCCGCGCAGCTGCGCGCGAGCGTAGGCAGAACGAGTGGCGCTGGTGGGTCGACGAAGTCCTGGCGAACGCGCAGGGCCGCCTCTGCAGGTGGATCCGCGGCGGTGGCACGCTGGGCGCGGAACTCGTGCCTGACCCCGCGGCGGCCCCGGCAGCGGCGCCGAACGCCTCGCCAGGGTACAGGTCTTGGCTGCTCACGTTGTGTGGAGGGCATGCCGCTGGAAACTTAAGTTTTCGGCCAGAGTCTCGACGATTCCTAATGTTTACATGTAAATCCTAAGATTTTAATAGGAACTCTGGGTTGTTATTCAAATTCTGAGACTCTGAATTTCTTAACCCATGATTTCTTAAGCATTTCGCAGGGTCTACGAGGGCGCCCTGGAAGCAGCTCTGGCAACGGCGGCCGGTGCTGGGCGAGGACTGGCCGCGGGCGCTCCACGGCCTGCCGCCCCATCCCGCCCGAGCAGCAGTGGACCGCGGCGGACAGCAGCTGGCTGCTTCGGCACGTGCCGGGGCGAGAAGAGAAACGGGGCCCGCACGGCGGCCCACCGACGGATGGCCAAGCGAACCCGTCGAGCCAGAGGGGCCTCTCTCCCGCCGAATGCTGGCGGGAGGCGGGGCCGCTGGACAGGCGACCCATGCGGCTGCTGCCGATGCTTCATTCGGCGGTGGACAAACCTCCCTTTAGTAAACCTCCGTTTAGTGAAAACGACCTGGGACCGAAACCGACGGACCTGGACCCGCAAAAATGACGACCGCGACGCCCTCTCGAAAACCGAAAACGGACAATCCACTAATCGACGTGTCAGGGTAGGAGGTCTGTCCACCCCCGATTCATCGTCTGTGGGCGGCTGGGCGGGCCCGCGACTCCGATGGCGGCTGAGCTGGGCTGGAGCACGCGTCCGGCTGGGGGCCGAGGAGCTGGCCTGGGAGCTCGCCCTCAAGATGGAAGCGGTGCAGGCGATGTCGGAATCCATAGCGGGGGCTGCACCCGACTGGTGCACGGCCTGCGACCACGTCAACTTATCGTCACTGCCGGGTCTGCTGCGGCGAGCGGGGCTGCTGGACTGGCTCGTGAAGCCGGCGCTAAGCACCTACTCGGCTCGCAAAACGGCTTCGCGTCGGGCAGGCAGTCGGCGGGCCGTGGTCGTCCAGTTCTGGCCTGCTCCTAGGGTGCGCCCCTGCCGTTTTCCTCCTAAGAGTCCTGACGCTCTCTTGGTGCCGGCGCGCCAGAGCAAGACTCCGCTGGCGGATCGACGTGGACGTTTTCAAGCTGTGGATGCGCGCGCCGGTCCAGGAGGCGGGCGAGACGGCAGAGGCCGTCCAGGGCGATTTGGACGAGACGCTGGGGTTCGGGACCGCGATGGGCTGGGGGCCCAACCGAAGGAAAAGCCAGCAGTTCGCCAACACCGTCGGGGTGCTCGGCGCAGCGGCGGGCACGGCTGTCGGATTGTGCGGCACAGCGTGCGGCCGTCCGCCTGAAGGCGAGCTGCGCGCGGCTCCGTGCGGCTGCGCGGCGGCCTTCGGGCGGCCGCGGAGGTCGCTTCCGGCGTGCTGAATCCCAGCTGGCGCCTCGACCCGGCCGCCGTGGCGACCATCGCCCCACTCTGCCACATCGCGAAGGCGATCCGCCGAGGCCGCTTCCTGGCGCAACAGCTGTGGCGCGGCGCAGCCGGGGCCATCGCGGCGGGGCGCGGGCGGCGGCCCGTCTCGGCGGCCGTGCGCAGCCTCGCGGAGCTACGCCTTGGGTGCGATGCCGAGAGCCGCGAAGCACTCGCTGCAGGCGGCGTGGGCCCGCCGCGAAGCAGCTGCAGTCGCCGCCCGCCGGGGCGACATGGCGCACCTTGCCGGCGGATGGACCGCTGGGCCACGCGCGGGCTCCTCGGGCAGAGGCCGCTCACGCCCTACTTGGCGCGCGCTGCGCACGGTGCTCGCCCGCGGCGTCGCCACGCAAACACGGGCGGCTAAGATGGGCAAGCCGAGGCTGTGCCCTGCAGGATGGCCGACGAGGACCCAGACCACCGTTTCTGGCGGTGCCCGTGCTGGCAGGAGGCGCGGGCAGCTGCGCTGCGAGGCTTTGGCCTTCGCCCAGAGGGCCTCCGCGCGGCTCTGCCGCCGGGCGCGGCTTGCACTGAAATCCTCCGGGGAGAAGCTGGCCGCGAGCGCCTGCACGCGCGCCCATGCTGCCCCCGCCGCTGCCCGCTTGGCTGCGGGCCCCGCGGCTGGGCCCATCTCGTCGCCGAGCGTGGCCAAACGGAGCCTGCGAGCGGCCGACCGACCCGCTCTTGGCCAGGGCAGGGGGGTACGGCTCGACGGCACTGCCGGCGCGCAAGACAGCAGCAGGCCAGTCGACAGGCCCCAGACGGCCCAGAGGGTGGAGCTGGCAGCCGCCCTACACGCGGTGAGCCTCGCCGAAGGCCCCTTGGAGGTGATAGCCGATTCACAATTCGTCAACAACCGGGTCGCGGCGCTCCGGGCGGGGGCGTCCTCAGAATAAATGGGGCGCATACGGAAATCTGGAGTTGCTGGCCGCGTACTGCCAGACTGGGCACCTCGAAGCGATATGGATCAAGGGGCATCTCGACGCGGCCGGCGCCAGGGCCCGAGGCATGGCTGAGGAGGACCGCCTCGGCAACGCCGCCGCTGACCGGAGCAACCGACTGCGCGCCCTGGGCGTCGCGCAGCGGCTGCTGGCAGAGGTGGAGCTGGCAGCGCCAAAGGCCAACCGCAGCGTCGGCGTGGCCCCTCGGGCGCGCACACCGCAGCGCCGGCGCCGCGGCCAGGGGCGTGCTCGGCGCGCAGCCAGGCGTGCCGCCGCAGGGCCCTGCGGAAAGAGCTGCCGCACGCAGCACTGGCGCCGCCAAGCAGCGCGGGCGGCGGCAGCAACAGGGCCCGTGGCGCCGCTCTGTTCGCGCGGCACGCCTGGCAACTGCATGCCGCCGCACAAGGCTCCAGATGGGTGGCCTGCATGTGCTGCGGGGCGTCCTCGCCCACGTGACCACGGCTGGTGGCGACGCCCATGCTGGGGCTGGGCCGCCGCATTGCCGCCGCGGGCGGCTGCCTTGCTGCTGCTGCCCACGGCCGCGAGGCCGACTGGCGCGCGGCGCTGCGCGAGCGCGCCAGGTGCAGCGCCCGCGGCCGCCAGACTGAATTCGGGATGCGGGCGGCCTGTTTGCAGGCCGCGTGCCATCCCGCCCACCCGTCCCCTCCTTCTGCCTGTTCGCTGCCCCGTGACTGGGGGAAGGAATCGGGAAGGAACTGTTTGGCCTCCAAGTCCAAGGCGGTGTCTCCTGTGCTGGCAACATATGCCTCATGTGGGGTGCTTCGTGGAGCTGCAGGCCGGCCTGGCCAGGTCCGTGGCGACCCAGGGACGGTCGCCAGGAGCACTGGCCAGGCGCAACCCCCCCGAAGGGAAGCGGATTGCAGCAGGCCCAGAAAAAATAAGGGTGCGGGGGGTGGGAGCGATAGACCCCGACCCTAGGAACAGGGCGCCTGCGCGCGAGCCGGATCCAGCAAAACGCACGAGGAACCCGAAAGAAAGACGAGCCGAATCCCGCGACCCCGCAGACGCCCCTTTCCCGAGTGCACAGCCCCCTAAGAAAGGACGCCCTCCCCCCCTCCTCGACCGCGGCTCTCTGTCGCTGGGCGTCTTCGATGGGAAATGAGACTCGGGCCGGAACGTGGCAGGCCGGAACCGGCGCGGCGACACGCCGAGCTAGCTCTCGGTGGACGTCTGGGCTGCTCGTTTTGGCCTTCGGTGTCCGTCAAGCTGCTGATCAGGGGGCCGTAGAGCTGCACGCGAAACGCGAAGTTTATGTTGCACATGTAGAGCCGGAACCTCGCGGCCGCCGCCGCCGTCTGGCATCAAGCACCCTGCATCCCGAGAGAGACGGGTCCTGGACTGGGGGCCTCCCCCCGGAGGGCAGCTCCTCATCCCGAGCCGCCTTTTGACGGTCCTGGGCGGGGTCCACAGGAGGCATGGGGAGGCCGAGCGCCGCGAACAGTCTCAAATCCCGCTTCCCTCAGGACCCCTCTGCAGTCCTCGCCGTCGTCCTGGCCGCCGCCGCCGTCGACGTCGTGATCGTCGTGGTGATTGCGGTGGTCGTCGTCGGGGCAACCGAGCGATACCGATACCGCTTCTTCCCAGACCTCTCCCGGGGTGCGTTCTGGCCAAGATTTTGGAGCGAATCCAGCCGTAAGAAAGAGGGCCTCGCTCCCAGGAGGCCCAAGAAGGCGAGCACGAGGGACAGGGAGCGATATCGGTACGGCAGGTTCGTGTCGTGCCGACTTCGGCGTCTACTCCTGACACCGACACCTCGGGGATCGTTCAACCTGGAACGATCGGCCGTTTCCAAAACGTCTGATAGCTCAATTTTGACCTATTCTGGATCGCTGGCGGTGTTCAAGGATGAACGCCCGCGGCGGGGTCGCCGCCAGGCGACACGACTCGAACCTAACGTAACTTTTCCTCCTCTGACTCGTACGCCCGCGCGCGTCGTCCCTGTCTGGGGGCGACGCACACACGATCTATGTGTGTATATATATATATATGTACAGATATACATATGCATGCTCGGGCGACACCGAGGGAAGGCTATAAGAATGTCTGGGGGACGCCGAGAGAAGGCGAGCACCGAGGGAAAGCTAGCGGCATCCGTCCGTACCTCATTCCTCCTCGGAGTCCTACGCAAGTCCCTGGCGGCGGGCGTTGGGCGGCGCCCCGAGCGCCTCACGGCCTTCGCCGTGGTGCTCTGCCCCGTGCCGTCGCACCCGCCGCCCGCGCCGCCCGCGCCGCCCGCGCCGCCCGCGGCGGCGGCCCGCGGCGCCAGCAGAGGCTGCTCGGCGGCTGCGACGGGGGCGGATGGCCCGACAGGGCCCCGTCAGCGCGCATAGCAAGGGCGCACACCCTCTCTTTATGCCACCCCTGTGTCCTCGCCTCTGCGGCCCGTCCTCTCCCGCGTCCACCGGCCAGCCTCTCAGGGTACCCTCGGGGTTTGGTCGCCCGCCGCCCCGAAAAACGCAACTCCGGCCTCCCACGGAAATGCGTCCTTACCACCCGTCGTTATAGCACGTTTTCACCGTAAAGAACAACACATGGCATTCATACAAGCTGTTAGGCGGCGAGTACTGGGCGCTCATGATCGGGACTAAAAAAGATTGAACCCCGTTGGGGGGCAGATGCACCAAATTAGGTCGCGGATTAAGCCGGATTGAACCCCAAAAAAAAAACTGCGCCGGCGAGATTAAGCCGGATTAAGCTGGATTTCGGATGAAAGCCAAATCAGAATTTGACCTCCCAGGAGTTGCGTCCGAAAAACAGTTGGAGCTCTGCGCGTGTTTCTCGGATCGGCGCTGGACCCCCGGGGCGGCGCCTCCGGCGCCGCCCCTGGCGCGCCAGGGCAGCGCCGATGCAAGAAATCCGCGCGGAACTGCGAAAACGCATGCTTATGCAATCCTGTCTTCTTCGATGGAAGAGGCATTACTCTTCCTGTCGCGGCGCCGGCGGACGCTCGGAGCGGAAGGCCCAAGCCGTTTTGCGACAATCGGGCGGCCATCTTGGCCGTCTTGGGCTCCATCTAGGGCGGACAGATCCTTGCCCCTCCTCTGTCGTGGTGCCTCCCGTGTGTTGCGCGTGGCTGACTCCAGTGGCCGAAGGCCAATGGGAACCTTCCGGAAGGGCGCAAAGCAACAAAAAACACTCCGAAAGTGAAGCACCCCTGCGATGAACACCGGGGGCGGTGTACCTACAGTCAGGTGATATACTGTTGGTGGTGTGGTGAGTTGCGCGTTTCACACATCGGAAAGGCGTGCTTACGCACGCGCGCGCGCACCCGCGCGCGCACGCGCTCAGCATGGGGCTCGGGCTCGGTCTCCAGCTCGCGCTCGGGCTCGGAGTCCGGCTCGCGCTCGGGCCGCGCGCACCGGCGCGCGCACGCGCTCAGGATCGCCTTCGGGCTCGGTCTCAAGCTCGCGCGCGGGCTCGAGGTCGTGCGCACGCTCGGGCTGGGGCTCTCGCTCGCGCCTGCAACCTGCGCGCGTACGGACGCGCACACGCGCACGCTCGCGCACACGCGCGCGGTCACACACGCGCGCACGCGCACGGGCGCGCGCGCGCACGCGGACTGCCCCCGCTTGAGGGCGAGGCATGATTCCAGCGCTAAGACATCCACCCCTGGGTCCCGTACCCTCCCCCCCGACCTTATTCATGTTCTCTAAGCTCCGAGCGGGGTGTGGCTCTCGCGCCGAATCTTCACAGGGGAGACGGGTTCCAGCTAATCATGTGGTCAAGACTGGTGGGCTCCAGAACCTTTTTTCTCCGAGGGCCAATGTTTCAAATAGCCCGCGCGGCTTGGGCTCCGGCACCCAACTCACGAGGGACAACATGCTCCAGCAGACTTTGCCGTCACGAGAGCCTGCTCCGGCACCCAACCTCTACAAGTGACCGTGGTTCCAGCATCGCACGGTGTGGGCCCTGGCTTCCAATGTGACGATGGAAGGCCGCTCAAGCAGGTGATGCCGACGAGACCACCGAGCCGTCTTCTGAAGAGGCAGCTGGGGCGACCCGCGCCACAGCCACGAACCCTCTTACAGTCCGTCAGAAACTTCACAGGCAACATGTTCACCTGACTGTAGGGCCTCCAGCGAGTCCCGCCGCCGCGCCTTGGTCGTGGAACCGCAGGAGGAGCAGGAGGAGGAGGAGGAGGAGGAGGAGGAGGAGGAGGAGGAGGAGGAGGAGGAGGGGGGCGCCGCGAAGCGGCAAACTGACACCAAAGAGGCGGGGGCAGGCGAGGATGGCCTTCAGGGAGGGACCCGCGGGCGGGCGAGGCGCTCGGAACGTGCAGCGCTTCACGCCGGCGCGGCGGCCCAGGCTCCAGGCATAGGAGTCATACGAAATGGCGGCCCCAGGGGAGCAACCCATGCACGGTGATAGGGGGACAAGAAAGGACACAAGCCTGAACAGCCGGAGGTCCGCACGGATTCCTCGGATCGGCGCTGGGGCCCACTGGCGGCGCCTCCGGCGCCGACCCTGGCGCGCTCCGCGCGCCAGGGAGGGGGGTCCAGCGCCGGTCCGAGAATTACGCGGCGTCGCGGCGGCGGGCCCCGCGACACGCTATGCCTTGCACGTGGATGACGTGTTGCTCCGCCTCGCGGGCACGGGATGCCTGGAAAGGCTCGGGAAGTTGACGTTTGGGCATTTGCACGCGGTTAGTGCGTCGCGCCGAAGCGTGGTGAGCCAGAACGGGCGCCGCGACACGCTGAGCAAACGTCCCTGACCATCTCGACGGGCTCCGATCGTCCATGCTTCCGATAGACGGGTCCAAACTTGCATAAACATAATTCATCAAATATTCCGCGCGGGTTGGATTGGCGCTGGACCCCCCTCCCTGGCACGCTCCGCGCGCCGGGGGCGGCGCCGGAGGCGTCTCCAGTGGGCATGGCGCTTACCCCAAAAAACGTGCGGACCTGCGAGGAAGTACGTCTATGCTGTTCCAGGATTTCCCATTCGACGAAACTCTGGGGCAAGTGCATGTACCATCCCAGCTCTCGCGGACATCCGCCCCTCTTGCAGCCGCCGACAAGAGGTCGCGCGGCGGGCCGCTCCAGCAGCCACCTCGCCCGGCGCCGGCGCCGGCGGCGACGGCGGCGGCGGCGCTGGCGGCAGCGGCGGCGGCGGCGGCGGCGATGGCGGCGGCGAGATGGCGACCGTGGCGGCGCTGACGCCGACGTCGACGGCGGCGGCGGCGCCGACGGCCACCTCGTGGAGGTACTCCTTCTCCTCCTCGTCCTCTTCCTCCTCCTCCGCCTCCCACTCCTCCTCCTCCTCCTCCTCCTCCTCCTCCTCCTCCTCTTTCTCCTCCTCGTCCTCCTCCTCTTCCTCTTCCAGCTCCTCCTCCTCATCCTCTTCTCTCTCTCTCTCTCTCTTTACCTCCCTAAGAGCGCAAGCTGCAGAGAGGAGACTGGAGCCTGAACCGCCCCCGAAGCCATGAACCCTCGCGAATTGCGAAATTCGCCGGCCCAACGGGCCAGGGCGTGCTAAGATCTCCGGTACCTGGTTAACAGTATTTCTAGTTCGCGCGCGCGGGGCGGCCCCTGGGGGTCCCCGGACGAAAAACACCCCGGCAAGGTCCCGGCAAGGCAAGGTCCCGGCAAGGGCAAGGTCCCGGCAAGGTCGGGCCAGAGATGCCGGAGCCCTGTTACAGGGCCCCAGGACGGGCCAAGAGGTCCCCAAGAAGCCTCCAAGACGGTCCAAGAGGGCCCCGAGACGGCCAAAGATCGCCCGAAGACGCCCAACAGGGCCCCAAGACAGCCCAAGAGGCCTCCAAGACGCCCCAAGGGCCTTCCAAGAGGCCTCCGAAGAGGGCCCCAAGAGGCCAAAATCGTTGATTTTCATTGTTTTTGTTCGATGTTTTTTGCGTTCTGGCTTTTTCGGCTTCCGGACGCTCCAAGACGGCCCAAGAGGCCCCCAAGACCGCTCCAAGACGGCCCATGAGGCTCCCAAGACGGCCCCGGAACGGCCCAGGAGGGCCCCCAAGACGGCCCAAGTGCCGCCCAAGACGGACCAAGAGGCCCCAAGACGGGCCCAAGAGGGGCTCAAGCGGAGAACCGAGAACTGAAAAATCGAGCCCTCCGCCCCAGAAGGCGCCCAGGAGGCCCCAAAAAGGCCCCAAGAGGCCCCCAAGAAAGAGGCCCCAAGAGGCCCAAAAACGGCCCCCAAGAGGCCCCAAAACTCGGCTAGCCCACAACGGTGCGACAATATGGGCCGGCGGAATGAGCGAAGCGATTAAATATTTGCGCGCCCGAGGCCATGCGCCTTGGTGATTTACATTATGCGTGCGTCCCCGAGGCCGCAAAACCCTCGCGCATTGCGCAATATTCGCGTCTCCGAAACCACAGACCATCGCGAATGATTTACAGTAGTGTTCGCGCCACCGAAACCATACACCGGAACGAATTAATACTGGCCCTTGCGCGAAGCCCTGGCGCTGCTTCGCGCCGGCGTCCAGACGTCCCAGCGCTTCTCTGGCAAGTCCCATTCTAAGAGAGGGTGGCCGGCGCCAGGGGGCGAAGCCCTGGCGGAATTACTCCCCGCTTCAAAAGGCGCCGAGACATCGGAACAAAAACTCTGCCCATGAGGCGGCGGCCACTCAAGTTGGCCTCACCAACTGGCTGGCAAGACGAGGCAAGGAAGTATCAGCGAGATCCTTGTGCCCAAGACTCTCGCGGGCGAGAAAGAAGGCCAGGGGCGGGGGCGGGGCAAATGGGCCCAGGTCACGCGCGCCTCCCGAGGCGCTCTCTAGCCTGCTTGATGAGGTTGTAGTCTCTGAATGTCCTGACTGGCTGGGCGAAGCGCCCCCGGCGGCCCCTGTCTGGTGCGCGGAAACAAACAATCCACTGAGAAATGTCAACGGACTCAGATGTTCGGAGAAGTGGCGGGGCTGTCGTTCACCCGAATCCGCTCTGAACCTGAACTCAATCAAGAAGGATGGGCCCCTGCCGCGTTCCCATCATAACGCTCAGGCTGTGACGTGCTGGCGCCATTCAGCTCGACCTGTGCGGCCGTGGCGGCCCGCTCAAAGGTGCGGCCACGACTGCCGCTCCAAGATACGCTGGTCCAGGGAAGGCCTCCGTCTGCGTGCGATGGAGAGGCTCCGCGGGCGAGATGCACTGCGCGCGGGCCACTGGAACCCCCGGCTGCGGAGAATCCGCAGCCGGCTGAGTCGATGGCATGCCCCAGAACTGAGTCGGTCCAAGGGGCCCGCCCGCCGCGCATGCGTCCTGCTGGGCCGGGCCGATGACAGTCGCCTCCTTGGTTTTTCGCCCGCTGGGGCTGGAGTCGGAGTGCCGCCGATCGCACCTCGCTGCCCTGCTGCAGCCGCTTCGTCCCGCACCAAGTCCTCCTCCGACAACGCCGCCCGGTGCCTTGGCCTGCGGCGGCTCGGACGGCGGCGCCTCCGCCCCTCCTCTTGAGCGGAGGGCCCCCGCGCGGGCGCATGGGGGGGGTGGCGCGCTGCAGTCGGGGGCCACGGGGCTGTGGAGATCGCTCCTGTGCCAGATCCCTTAGCTTGCGGGTGCCCCCAGTGCTGCTGCACAGTGAGCGCCATCAAACATGACCATGTCCTGGTTGGTCTTCGGCGATGCCGGAGACGACGCTGGATACCCCGCTGGAGCCGGAGGCACTTGGAACGGCGGCGCGGGCACTGGGCCACGCTGCGCTGGCGGGAGAGGCGGGTCGGGCGCAGGACGATGAGCGAACGTCGAAGCCGCTTGCCGCGCGGGGGGCGGCGGCATCACGCCCTGGAGCTGGGCCTCTGCCGCTCCCTACTCCATCTCCTCCTTCTCCTGCTGGATCAGCTCGTCCAGCGCGGCCTCGAGCCCATTCTGCTTCTCGATGGGGGCGTCCCTCTGGGTGTGCAACTAGCCCAGCTTCTCCTCCAGCTTGTGGATCGCCTGCTTTGTGTTTCGAGCTCGGTCTGGCACACCCTGACGGTGATGTTCTCCACGCTCGCCAACGAGTACTTGAGAACTGACATTTCCTCCAAGCTGTCCTCGTATTCGGCCCCCGAGCGGCGTGTCGCCAGCACGACGGTGGCCAAGGTCGTCAAGGCATGCTCACAATCCTCGCGAAACGCCTGTTGCTGAGGCGTAATCTTCGGCGCCGACCGGTATTTGGCGTGGCCCTCGGCCTTGGTGCGGCTGGCAATCGGGGTGTCCGCGATCAGGCGCTTGGCACCCGCGTTGGAAATCGGGCCGCGCATGCCCTGCTGCGGGCGAGCACGCTGCTGGGGGGGCTCCTGGTTGGTGGCCAAGCGGGGCCTGCTCCGCGGTCGCTCTGGCGTTTGCTGCGATTCTGCGAGCGCGGCCACAGCTTGCATCCGCGCGAGCAGCGCCAGTAATCCGATGGAGCACTGCGACTGCATGGTGGGCAAGTCCAATTCGTTGGCATCGACAAAACGGATGTGGCGCTCTGGCACGGTAGCGGACTGCCTGACCGAGAGGCGTGACAAAATGATAAAAATGCTGGGTGCGAGGGGTAGACTGACGTGGGTGGCGAGGCCGTGTGCCTTCCTACCACCACGTCGCGGACTGGTTTCTGGAAACCACCTCGCTGAAATGGTTAACTTGAGCCAAAATGGTTTGAGCCAAAATGGCTACGGATCTCCTCCTTCTCCTCCTGCTCCTCCTCCTCCTCTTCCTCCTTCTCCTCCTCCTCCTCCTCCTCCTCCTCCTCCTCCTCCTCTTCCTCTTGCCCCAGTAGCCGCCTTGTGGAGTCGGCCCCGCCGCTCAAGAACGTAACGGTGCACGCGAATCCCCCCAGGACGATGCAGTAGTGGCCAAGGTACTGCCTGCAGAACGCCAGCATCTACGACAGCAAGCCCGTAGATGCACAGGCTGGTGGGGGAGACACATGCGCAGGCCCCCGCCCGCGGGAGGGCGAGTCGCAGCGGCCGCAGGCCTTCAGAACCGCCGCCCCCCTGCGGGAGCAAGCGCATCAAAGCAAAAGTCGGTCTGCCGGCAGGTGCCCCTACAGGAGCTGTTCCTCCCCAGTGACACACAGAAGCTCTGGGGCACCATGGGCCCCGCATGTGTACGCTGACCGCCCCGAGTGGCTCTAGGGCGCGCCGGGGCCAAGCGCCGCAGGGGCTGGCGCCGTGCTCTTCAGCGCAGGTGCCGCGGCCCTCTCCTAGGGGCAGGAACGCTGCCACAAACAGAACAACTCGGAGGTCCGCGCGGATTTCCGCGGTTCCGAGCAATCCGCGCGGACCTCCGGGTTTTTATGGTTATGGCATTCTTCGTTCCGTCATCTCCGCCCTCCAGCAGCCCTCGGGCGTTGGCAGAACTGGGTTCAGTGGAACCTGGTTTCGTGATTGGTACCAGGGGCGCCCCCCCGTCCCATTTCCACCAACCGGAACTGCCGTCACAGGAAACACACCAATTACGGCAAACCTGGTTTAGTGAATCTGGCCCATTGATCGGGAGCGGCCAAGAGGGGGGTGTCCAAGAGGGAGGGGTGCAAATCATGACCGGCGGCATGTGCGCGGCCCAGCGGGGGGGCCAGGGACGTAATGAAACAAGAAGAGGCGCCATGAAATCTGGGGAAATATCATGGCCCCCACCATGATATTCACCCCCCCCCTAGTCATCACCCCCCTCTTTTCCGCCCCCGAAAATTGAGGGGCCCCAGGGCCCTACCACTGACAGGGTCCCCTTGCCCGGGGCCCTGGCTATGCCCGAAGCCCCTCCGCGGGCCTGCGCGGCTGCCGCCGGCCGCCCACTCCCCCCCCCACTCCTCGCGCGTGGGCGGTGGCGGTGGCCTGGGCGCGCCGGGGGCCCCAGCCGCACGCCTGCCTCGCAGCCCTGCGGCCCGTACCCTCCACAGGGCCTCTGACGCGAGGCGCCGGCTTCCGTCGGGCGTTTAAAGGAACCTGGTTTAACTAGTGATCTGTACCGGGGGCGCCCCCCCGTTGGGGATCCACTGAGCGGAACTGCCGCCACCCGCAACAAAAACGCCAGCTATGGCAAACCTGGTTCAGTGATTCTGGCCAATTCGAAGGCTCCGGAGCCATACCACTAACCGGGTCCCCTTACCCGGGGTCCATACCCTACGTACCCTCCACAGAGCCTCTGACGCGAGACGCCGGCTTCCGTTACATTTTTGCGAACGCTCGCCGGCTTGGCAGCGGTGCGAGCACCGGCGCGCCGATGCGCTGCTCTCTGCGACGGAGCGAGTGCGGCATCGACCGAGCGAGACTGGTGACCAGAATCAGAACTCCCGCTCGTCGACTCGATGGCGCGGTGACGTACCGACGCACCACCTGCTGCGCTCGCTGCACGCGCGGATGTGGGCCACGACCCAGCCTCACTTCGCTCGCCCGAGTTCGCCGAGCGAATGGCGAAGCAGCCTCGCGGGGATCTCGTCGGGCGCTCGCTGACGGGGCAAACCCGACCGTCGTCGTCGTCGGGGAAGAAGCGCACGCCCTTGCAGCACCCATGGGGCCCGCGGCCGCAGTTCAGGGGCCGCGCGGGGGCCCATGTGGGGGAGCCAATTTCCACAAACCCGACGCCATGAGTTTTGTGCAGGACATGGCTCCCCGGCGGTCTGGATCCCTTCCCTGGGACCAGGTTTCTTCGTCCCGACGCGTCTTGTGACGGTCCTGAGGGCCGGCAAGGGCACCCAGAGGCCGAAACATAGCGAAAGACTTCCCGTCATGTCTGTGTGCCATGGCCCGAGGGGGTCTGGGTCCCCTGCAATCCTCGGTCCCGCTCCGTCTCATTGCCCCCCCTCGCTGCCGAGTGCCCGTTCTCTGTAGTCGCCGCCGACGCCCCTCTCGTCGCTGGCCCCCTTGCGGTACCGAGGCGACTTCAAGCTGCTCCGGGAGGGCCTCCCTCTGACCAGGACCGGCGATCCCCTGCCCCCCCCTGGTGGCAGACCGCAGGCAACCCGAGTACGGCAAGGTTGCGGCATGCTCGTCCACTATCCTCAGGACGTGTGTTGGCGTCAACGTGTGCTCGTCCAGCGGAGGCCTCCAACCACGACGCAGGACTCGCACCAGGGACCCAGCACAGGCTGCGTGTTGCCGTGCTGCCAGTGAAGCTGAGCTGGGCCAACGCACACTGGACCAAAACACGCCCTCAGGATCCTCGAACTCTTCCTCGTCGGCCTGCGCCTATACCCCCCGGAGCAACCCCAAGGACCCTCCCCCCCCCGCCACTTCCCCCCCTATGCCGAAGCGTCTCCGAACCTGCTCCGAGAGGGCCTCTTTGAGAGCTAGGGGGGCGCCTAGGGGGTCGGTCACCCCCCGCTTTTGGGCGCCGCCAAGGTTGCGCCGCACACCGACGACGAATGCACATTGGACCCACAGAATAAACAGTCACATGTGCCGCCCTGCGCGCAACCTCGGCGTCGCGATGCCCCCGTGCGAGGGAAGAAGGAGAGGAGCGAGAGGAGCAACCGGGATCATTAGGCTGGAGCGCGAGGCAGAGCAACTATCCTCGCAATCCACGGGCCCTCCAACTGTCGCCTCTACCCACCCCCCCCATGCCGTTGCCATCCTCGGTGCCAAAGCGGCACCTGATTGCCTCGGACTGAAAGGGGGAACAACTAATCCTTCAACCTAAAGTGCGACTGGATCCGAAGGATGCGCGGCATGGATGCAAGGACCTTGGACGCCCGAAGTGGAGCGCTGTGGGCGTCGGCTCCCCGAGGGGCTGGCCCGCGAAAATAGCCAAGGATAGTCCGATGAGGCAAGACTGCAAAGATACCCTCCGAGAAACTTAAAGCTCCGTGTGAGGTGGTAAGACTGTATGCTTGAGGCGAACTCGCGCCTTCCTCTCTTGGCACATGCTACAAGTTCGAATGCTATCCCCGTTCGGGTGGGGTCCCCCATCCGACATTGCATAGCTGCAGCCCTGGTGAAATGTGAACTGCGGGAGTCGCGGGGACCTACAGAGTCAAGGGCCAGCTGGCAGCCCATGCAGTGTGACCTTTTTTTTTCTGAGAACGAGAGGCGAACCGCCGCCCCTTTTGGTTCAACGAGTGTGACTCGAGCGTTTTGGCTGAAGGCTAAAGCAGGGACCAGAAAAGCAGCCAGGACAGCGCTGAGTTCCGAGGGAGCTGACTGAGTGCCACCAGAGCCAACCCGAACACTCATCTGACCATTCAGCCACGGAACTGCTGCCTCAAGGCCACGATCACAATCAAATCACCGACAACGGCAGGACAAAAGGACACAATCACGCCCAGACGACCCAGGACCTCTGAGGGCAGACGGTCTGGTGACAGACAGTGCGGTGACCTCGAGGTCCCGAAGGACCTCACACGGTCCGCCAGCGCACGGTCTTGGGATTCAGTCGGGCGTGTCCCCCTACAGGGGGATTTTCGACAAAAAATAAAAATACCCCCAAAAATAATCAAAACATAGTCCAACAATTGTCTGGGAACTTTTTTTTTTTTTTTTTTTTTGTTTTTTACCTTTTTGGGGTATTTCTAATTTTTCGTCGGAAATCCCCCTGTAGGGGGGACAGGCCCTGATCAATCCTGGGACCCTGGAGGCCACAACTGCCTGAGACACCCTCGGAGAACGACCCGAGACCCCAGCTCGTGCGGCCACCCCGGAGCCCAATGGACTCACCACACGGTGTGGTCACCGCAGCGTTTGGGGGCCCTCGATCCCGAGCGCGCTCCGGAGGACGCTGCTGACCCAGACCCCCGACGTCGTGATTTTGTCACACCGTCGAACCCCAGAGGTCTGGACCCCTTCCCCGGAACCGGTTTTTCATCCCGAGTCGTTTTTTAAGTGTCCCGGGGCACGGTAAGGGCCCATGGAGGCAGAAAGTGGCGAAAAAACTCCCGTCGCGATTGTTTCACAGCGCGAGGAGGTCTGGGGAGGAGCGTCCTGGGACGCTCTGGAACGGTTCGTGCTTTTCCTGCGAGGTTGCCCGCGGAACAAGAAACGGACCCACCAACGGGTGCTCTATACGAGAGCGTCTTCCCTTCAGATCTGGGCCCGCAGAGCCCTGGGGCGCCTTACCACGCGTCTCCCAGACGGGGTCCGAGTAGACGGGCTCGGATGGCCGCGCCGCATCGCCGACGTGTCGGCGACGTCGGCGGTGCATCGGCGACGCCAGCGCGGAGAACATTGGGCTTCGCATCGACATCGGCGATGCATCGGCGACGTCGACGATGTGGAGACAGCATCGGCAATGCATGGCTGATGCGGCGCGATCCTCCGACCCCATCTACTCGGACCCCATGTGGGAAGCCTGGAACTTACGAATCGCATGCTACACGAAGAATGCGCCCCCAGGCTTCTTACAGCCTGAGCTCCCATCGCGCGGGCCTGCGATATGCCTGCCTGGAGGCCTCCTGAGTTCGCGCACCGCCTGGCCCTTTCTGGCCCATTCTCGATGACTCTCAGAACGTGTGTTAGCGCCAATGTGTGCTTGTCCACCCAAGCGCCCCCCAGTGGAACGCAGGCGGTGCAGCGAAGGCCGACGCAGGCTGAGCGGGGTAAACGCACACTGGAGTAACACACGTCCCGAAGAAAGGCACATGCTGAAGTGCGATGTGCTGACCGATGACATGAGCGCACGCCTGACGATATAGTGCACTGCAAATCCAGAACGGGCCTGCCTCTCCGGAGGAAGCGGCGCTGGGTCGGTCAGCGCAGCTTCTGGTCCAAGCTGCAAGCGAGACCGAGGAACCCGTGGGGCCCGAACCTGGATCACCTTCGCGCCCCCGAGGCGGGAGTTTCCTTGACACCCCTCGGCTTTCAAAATCCCCCTCCCCAAATAAAGGCGCCCAACGGCCAAGACTTTGGACGCCCGAAAGGGGTACGGAAAGAATGGGTACAATGCCCAACA